CCACATCTTCACGTTTTCCACTGCCTCTTTAGCCCTGTTTTCCTTAAATGGTTCTGTTTAGACTAAAATTATTTTTGCTTGCACGGTCAGATATTTAATCTGTAATAAAATTCTCCTAATCACAGATTGGCCACCAACCTAAACATTGGGGCTTTATGAAATAACGTGTACATTTCAGATCAACAAAACAAGCATTTTTATTCACCCACATGTTGTTCCATATCACTTTGAATGAATAAATGAAGCATTAGTATAGATATTAGCGTACGCTCAAATCGCTTCACTTTCTTTTTTTCCATGGAGCACATAGAGAAATTTAATGGTCACTCTTTTCCATGCAGTTGCAATGAATGAGAATTGAGGCTTTCAAGGTGTTTTTCTCACACAAAGCTATCGTATGACTTCAGAAGATTTGGAGTATAGTGTACAAGTCGTATGAACTACTTTTATGAGACTTTTATGGTGCTGTTGTGACCTTGATGCTTGAAAGCCTCAGTCCCTATTCATTGCAATTGCATGGGAAAAAAGATTTTACTTTGTGTTCTTTCTCAGTTTCAGATACTCTTTCAAATTAAACACATTAATTAAGTAAAACACATTTACCACTTTCTGCAAGCCATCGATGAGATTGCCCACAACAATACGGAGACCTTTGAGCTCCTGGACCATGTTGGTGATTTCCTCACAGGAGCGCTCGCACACATCCGATGCCATTTTTTCCTTCTGCCCAATGAAGTTGGTAGAGATGGCCATACCAACAGACACAGTCTCTGTACTTTCATTAACCACGTTAACTTCCTCTGAGAGAGAAAGGAATGCAGAGTCAAAAAATGTAAATGTTTAAATTGAATTTTTTTTACTTCAGAAATGTCCCTAAAAATAAAGAGGAAGTAAAAGGACTTTAATTTGAAATAATACATGCAAATGAATACAACATTAAAGTGGCCCCATAAGCCTTTACAATGAATAAGCAAAATACAGCAGCTATGTTTGAGATTTTAGAACAGTGCATGGATTCCACAACCCACACACTTGAATATATCATTCTCTCACTGTATTTCTGACATAAGTATAATAAATGCATAGAAGCTACCCTGAAGCAACATTTAAAGAAAGATAGTGATTTTTCAAAGCAAGTCTTTGAAAAGGAGGAAGGTGGTGGGGTACGGGATACGCAACAGCAGAGGAATGCTGTCCACTGCGCCAAAACTCCCATTAGATATCTGCAGCCATTTTGGGGTCATTTGCGTAAATTTTCTCCAGATTAATGGAGGACAGGGGACAATAAATCAAGAGCCATGTTGTTACCTCCAGAGGTTTCTTTGAGACTCATGCAGGGTTAGCAGCTTTTTAGAGACTGTTGAACTCGTTCAAATCTCTTGGGGTTTTCAGTCAACGCTGGGAAAATGAGTGTGTGCGCGTGTCTGTTTCAGCGACTTTCTAGGCAGGCTTTTGTGCAGTTCACTTTAACTTTTATTTAGCAATACGTGGCACTCCTAAACTGGGGCACTAGAGATTTTATAGAGACCTCTGTACTGGCATCCTAACGCTCAGCAGCTGGCATGTAT